ACACTGATACTTTTTACTTTTTACTGATACTTTTTACACATGCACTCTTTGCACCTGGGCTGTCTGTAAATGCTTCTATTGGAACCTGTAATTTGCTGCACTCTTTGTCCTTCTTCAATCATCTTCCTTATTCTGCTTTCGTATTCGTGCCACCTTAACGTGCCGTTTTCCGGCAAGATTGCCGCCAGCCTCTTCTTGATCGGCCGCAATGTGGGCCCATTCCCTCCGCCGTAATAAGCCCGAAAACCCGAAACTAACGATGAAAGCTGGCTGCCCGAGTCTGTCATTGCAAATACATCCGAAACGGCACACACGATCAAGTCCAAAGCCGCAAGCTTTAGCATCAATTAAAAAAAAAAAAAAAAGTTAGTAATAAATTCATTTTTTTTCTTTTGGTAATTTTGAAATGTTAATAGCATTTGAATGATGATTATTATTAATTACCTGAGAAGAAAAGTTCTTGAAAGGTGCAAGTTCACTTGGGGAAAGAAGATCCTCTTTCGTCACGATATTCGGGTAGAGACTTGTTAAAGGATTCATTCTCGATTTTCCACCGTAGATTTGTGAGCCGGCGAGATAGATATACGTGTCGCGATCAAATCCAAGTCCGGCGAGCACAAGTGCAGCTTCTTCTGGTGTAAGAGGGCATCTTCCCATCTTTCTCAACTTTTCCGGCGAAAGTTGTCTGAAGAAAGAAAGAGTTAGAAGGAGACATCAGTAGATCGAGATATGTTGCGAACTACTAAAATATCCTTTAATATATAAATATTACAATACTTAATATATGTACTTAATGGTAATTTTACTTGAAATTTGAGTTGAACTCGAGCATTTTGATTTCAGTCGATCTCGAGCGATTGTCTTCTTTTGTCGAGTCGATCTCGAGCGTCATAAATCGAGCTCGAGCAGGCAAAAAAGAAAAAAAAAAAAAAAATCAATCTTGTTCGATAAGGCCAATGCTCGACTCGACTCAACTCAACTCAGCTCGTTTGAAGCCGTAGACATTAGTACATGAATGATCGGGAAAAAATACGAAGCTCGACATTTGAGTATTGAAAAATATTATTGTACGTTGTTTTCTTGAGGCGCTCGAGGAGGAGAGGAAAATGCTCTTCTCTATAGGCTTGAAGTTCTCGGGCTTCTTTTTCGCCGCCACCAAAATTACACATCGAATAAGCTACCATATCAACTTCGAACCTCAAATGCAGAGCTAGATATTTTCTCGAAGGCCTTGATATTTCGAAATGTTCATTATGAGGATCAGAGGATGATGCAAAGCTTTCGAGAAGCTGTTCGTCTAACACGCTCCTTGCAGCACCGTGTTTTTTCCTTATTCTATTAACCAATAACGAGCCGGTTTTCTGGATTTTTGGCACGAATTTCAATGCATGGAAATTACATTTGCATCTAAGTCTCTGCACAAAAAAGAAGAAAAAAAAATGTAATTGCACTTAACAAGTGGAATTCGAAAATTTTGAAAATGTGTTTTGTTTACCTGAAGATTAAAAGGCAACCCCTCGAAACCGAGTCGATTACCAAATCCAAGAAAATAGACGATTTTGTTACGAGATAAAATCGGTAGTATTTTTGTTATATATTCACGAACAGTTGCCTCTTTCGAGAGGTCTGCATCAGTCACCTGAAAAAATCAGGCCTAATTATAAACTGTTTCTATAAAAGAGCAGCTTTACGGTCTAAAAGCTCGACTGGCAAACTTACTACACTGCCAATGGCTTCTAAGTCGAGCGATTTCATATTCGAAGGAAGATCTTTCACGATTTTAACATCTTCATTGAATGTGTTGATAAATGTCTCCTCTTGATATATGTCTTTGAACTGGCTGCAAATCAGCTAAGGATTACAACAAAGTCGAACACTTTCTAATACCAACAAACAAACAAACAAACAAAAAAAAAAGATGATCGGGATTTTTTATTTTTTTTTACCTTGGGTCTTTCCATACATTGCTGTAAAGAAATTCGGGAATTACTAAAGTCGCGTTTAGCAGAGATGATACAGCAACAGCATTGCAAACCTGCATATATAGCAACCAAAGCAAGATTCTTGAACTTGCAAAAATTTACCATGAAAATTAAGAAAAATAAATAAATGAAGAAGATCAAAAGAAGAATTTGCTTACAGCAACTCTCTGTTGATTTAGTCCTCCATTTGCACTAACCAGAATATAACCATTGTTGTTATTCACTGTCCCTGCCCTGACAACTATTAATGGTTAAAATGTGGCTCCTCCAAATTTTACTGAGAAGCTCAATCATCACAAATAAGAAAAAAAAATCACAATATTTTACCTTTTAACTTTCTTATCTGCACAAGGCCTCCACATAGTTGCTTGCAGATTTGTTTCCTTCCAAAATTTTGACTCTTTTTGCTCTAGCTCTCTCTGCAGCAAAAGAACACGAAAAAACTTTGAATTATGAGGCATTTCTTCCCGTTCGAAATTTAATATCTTTGTTTGAATTATACCTCTGCAAGCGAAACAGATGCCATATGTAAGAGTCGAGGATGCATAACCACACTTTTCTCACGATCACCATTTGCAGTGTTCTCTTCCTTTAAAAGATTGAGGATAAATTTGAATTGCTATGAATACTCATATCTATATAACAATTGCGCAGAATGATGAACGTTATTATACCTTCGGTGTGTAACTTTTTCTTGAATTTTGGCTATTATTGGGATAACCCGGATCGAAAAATGAAAAAATAAACGAATCTAAGAGGAAAAAAAAACCGATCATTGTGCTTGTGAATATAATCGACCTCATATGCCTACGAAGCCACCACGCATGCTTTTTACCAGCACTAACTCCTTTACAAGTACTGTTCTTATTAAACCCTTTGGCCCATATAGCTTTCTCCCAAGTATAATCTCCTAAACTCGATCTTCGAATTTCAGCGAATCTCGATTGATACTCATTCGACCCATGCTTTCCCATTTTTCTTCAAATATCGGCTGATATATCTCCAAAACAAAATTTCAAGAACTACTTTTTAAGATACACTACCTGGATTAAACTCATCATGAACCTTAATCATATATTCCGTTTTTTTTTTTTTAAAAAATCTACCCTGAATGACAGACAATCTTGAAAAAAGCTAGAAGTTGGTTGGGAAAAATGTAGTAAGAAAAAATCAGATAAACAAGAAACATCAAAGGTGGTAAAGCATAGATTGCAAGTGAAGTAAAAGTTGGTGACTGTAGTTTTTTATGCATATATCAACATCATCTAAAAGATGAGCACTAAACTAACCTTAATTTTGCTGTATTGTACTGGACAGGTGAATCACATCTGCAACAAACAACAACACATCACCAAACAGGGCTTTTATTTTATTTTTTATGCATTTTCTAATGGTTTTTCTGTTGAAGATTTCTTTGAAATGATTTTTGAGTTTAGACTTGAACTTAAAGCGGCCATTTAAACAGATACCCTTTTTCTTTAACCAACTCAACTACCAAGCTGTTTGGTATTCTTGATTCTTGTTAAATCACATTAATCCAGTGAACACTAATGCAATTCACTTATTAGGGCCCTTTGTATTTTGAATTGTATGGATATTCCTTCTAAAAAGAACATCATGTTGCCTTAAATTTGGATGTCCCCTGCAATCCTTTTATTATAAACATAAGTTCTGGAATGAGCCAATTTAAATATTTAGGCAGATCAGACTAGTCATCCTTNTCTTATTGGTTAGCCAAATTGGCCAGTCAAGTCATATTTTCTAAGCAAAAGTGTGTACTTATTGTGAAACTTCAATATAGAGAGGCTATGGATAATACATACTCCTTGTTCTGCTAGTTTCTTTATAAATAATTCATAAGCATGAATTTTTTTCTGCAGAACATACTCTGAATTCTTCCAAGAAATTGCAGTTCATACACAAGGAAAATTTCTGGAGAACCTAGCAAAAAACACTAATACCATGAATAAATAATAAAAACACCAAAACACAGATCCCCTCCCAAACCGAAAATCAAACACCATTGCTAATAAGGAGCTCCAAAAGCTCACTCTTTTTCAGTTTCGAGTAACCCTTGATCCCTTTACACTTTGCAACTTCTTTCAATTCAGCGAGTTTCATTTCTTTGAATTTCTCTACTTCCTTGCTATCTTCTTCATTGTCTGTCGATACAAATCTTCCGTTTACCGACCCAACTTCATATTTTGGGCTCGATTTCATTTCTTCAAATTTTTCTACTTTCTTGCTATCTTCATTGTCTGTTGACAAAATTCTTCCGTTTATCACCCCAACTTCGAATCTTGGGCTTGATGGACGAGGTATTGGAGATCTTCGAGTGAATTGTGAAGGCGGCCTTATCGATTTAAGTTCAGTATTTTCTTTCTCTTCCTGTGGAGAATCCTTCTGCAGGCCTACTAATTTATCCTCCCCTTTGTTCACCGTAGTTTTTCCTGCTAGGGAGGAAAAAGGAACTAAGTTCAAACCAATAAAGATGAGGGATTAACAATCACAATTATCATCTTCAATTCACATGTTTAAAAGGGTAACCTTGTAGTTGATAATATAAGATTTAAGAAAGTGAGGTTTATATGTTCACCAAATCATAACAGAAATCAGAACAATAAGTCTTATGAATTTTTCTTCTACATATTCCAACATCAAAATATATGCATATCTTCAAAACTCGAATCATTTCGAATGATAATAATTACATCATCTGAAGAAAAAAAAAAACGAATAAAGAAAAAGGGTACCTTTTTGCTGGGTTCTCGACTGGAAAAGGACCTCTAGTATTGATTCGGCCGACATCATATTATTATCATTACTATAAGCAGTACGTTTAGATTTCTTCTTGCGGGTTTTCTGGGTCTCGCCTTTAGCTATAGAAGACTGTATATGCTCGAAGAGAGTGAGGATTTGCTCTTTATTAGGTGACAAAGATGAAAATAATGTACCATCATCAAACGATTGAGAATTAACATTATTATCCTCAACTTTAGAGGTGTTCTTTTGACGAGGCTTTTCTCTGTTTCCATTAGCGGCTCTCACAGAAGGCGGCCTAATCTGAATTTCTGCCAAATTCAATAAGCTGCATCAAGAAATTGTCATAGCCTCAGCTTTTTGTGATGTTAGGGGGGAAAAAAATGTTTATCTTATTGCAAACTAATGTCTTTGTTTGTTCATACAGCCCCCAGAAAACAAGGTCATTGAAACAAAGATTCAACAGTTTCCTTTAGTCACTACACATTAAAATAGATTTAATTTAGGTTCCAGAAAATAATTCTTGCATAGATTTGTACAAATAGAATTCTTGCATAGATTTGTATTTGGGGGGTTAAACTGCCACCATATTATTAAGTGAATTTGAACAAGTAACAATAATCCAGGTGTATTTGCACAAGGGTTTTTCAGGAAACTGAAAAAATTGAACCCCCGCATAGAAAAAAAAGGAAAAAAAAAAGGGAGAAAGAGAAAAGATTAAAGCCCATATCAAGAACACACACGCACAGACACAAAAAGGAGAGGAAATGAAAAACTAGCTTCAAACAATGAGATTCAGGACATAAATCTCCGATTTCTGATAGCAAAACCAACAAACTATGTATTACCCAAATACAGGAGAAAATCTGAAACACGATCAAGATAAAGATAGATTTTTATACATAACCAGAAAAGTAGGACTAAAGATTGTACCTTTAGGAGAAAAAAATGGTTTTCTCAAATTGGGTCTGCTAAATGCAGATGGAAAGTTAAGAGGGGGATTGGGATACAGAACAGATCCTCCCATGTTTTCTTGCCCAAGGCCTTTCGGATAGTGAACGATTAAAATTGGACAAAAAAAAATCTAAGGTTCAAAAACCACCGCACAACACAAAAGGCAGAAACCTTTTAACGTGGGTATATCCTATCCAGAGCTCACATTTTCCACGCGCCGGCGCGTTTGGGAACATGTCGTCAGTCATTAGTGTTTATTTCGATGCTTACTTGACCATTAGTCCAAAATTAGTACTACCTCCTATTCTTTTTAAATGTCATTTTGGCTTTATCAACTATTAACCAAAATAAATGTGCTTTTGGATCTTTTGTACATATTTTTCTATTATTACCCTCATTTAGTTAATAAATACACTACGTCTTTTCATATTCTCTCTTTTTTTTAAAAAAAAAAAACATCCATCTCTATCTTCATTAATGAGGGTTATTATTGACAAAAAAATTATTCTTAATTAGTGTGCAACTTCTCAAAACGACACTTATTATGAATAGGAGGGAGTATTCGATAGATAAAGTCAAGTGTTATGTATGTATATAATATTAATTAAAAATATTAGTTACATAATAATTAATAATATTATATTTAAAATTTTAAATATTAAAATAAAAATTACAAAATTATATAAATGCATACGAATTATTTTATTGATTGAATAAAATGTAATGAATAATGTAATTTTTATAATATGACGGTCATGATCAATTAATAATTTAAAAATATATTAGATCTTCTATTATAACACTTAAGGGGCGATAGGATATAGTTTCTACAGTAAAAAAAACTCAATTAAAACTCAAATTTAACTCAACCCCACTATCTCCAATATTATCAATATAATCAAATAATATCAACCAATCATTCTTACACATCACATCAACTTTAATTCACTCACATAATTTTAACTATCACTTTCAATTATTCTTCTCTTACTTTACATCAAATCAATTTTAACTAGTGTGTATCCCGTGCGCTGCACGGAGGAGTTTTACTTAAAACCTTTTCTAAGACTTTATATTATACATAGTTATTTATGTTTAACATCTTATTATTATAAAAAAAGAAATACTAAATATGAAAAATTATATATTATTTATTTGAATATAATGAGTGTCCCAACCAAACTAATAACATCCAACATATGATATATGATAAAATTAATTATATGATCGTCATACTTTTTGAAAAAATATACATATATTTCTAATAAACATGTAAGATCCGCATTTAAATTTGTATTTGGATATGGGATGAAAAATGAATATGTACAAATAAAAAAGTACCAAGAACCTACATAAAATGAGATTCTTTATAAACTTTAAAATATTTTGTAGTTAAGCAAATATTAACAAACAAAATCATCAATTAAGTTGAACTTATCGAATATAAAATATAATTTATGATATCATTGACCATATTTACCCGTTGTATTTAAAGTTATCATTGACCATATTTTTATGAATTAGGGTTTACAAAACATCTTTTTCAAAATAACAATTTTTTTTAATTTGAATTTGACTTTTTCATCCAACCGCCATTTTCCACAAGAATAAAAATAGTATTTTGGAAAATTTTAGACGTGAAAATCAAATAAAATTAATTTAATAGTAATCGATTAATTTAATATTATTCAAAATTATTTAATTCGGTCAACCTGATCTTAGTGCACGTTTCATTGAAACAATCGCTTACCAAAAAAAAAGGTAATCGCTTACAAAAAAAGGAAGTGAAATCTATCTATATAATATAAATCAGATTTGAAAAAAAAAAGGAAATGAAATTTCATAATTAATTAACTTAAATTGATGTTATTCGATTTATATCAACTCCCTTCCAAAAAAAAAGGAAATATCCGATTCCTACCAAATCGATTCAAAAAAAGAAGGATTATGATATACGTCCAAATAAATTACAATTGAAATGTAGGCGGGATTATGAAAAAAAAAATAAAAAAAACTTTACCGAATGTTTGAAAAAAAAAATCGGATTAAAAAAAATTAAAAGGAAAAAATTCAAAACGTGAAATTAAAATTAAAAACGTGAATTAAAATTAAAAAAATTAAAAATACAAAATTTACCAAATCTCAACCCATCAAAAAAAAGGGAAAATCGAGTGAAATAAAACGTGAAAAAAAAAGGAAAAGCGAGTGAATTAAAAATGTACCAAATCGGATTTTAAAAAAATGGTAACAAATCTCATCTCATCCTAAAGAAAAGGAATTATAACAAATTTAACAAAAAAACAACCAAATCTTATCCTAAAATAAAACAATCCGATTTCCATAAATCACATCCAAAATCAAATTAAGTTAGGCGGGATAAATGAAAAAAATTCAAAAAGAGTTTCCAAAACAGGTAATTTTCGAAAAATTTGAGAGGGAAAAAATGATGTTTAAGCGGGAAATGAAATATTTATTCAAACATTTATTCAAACATTTTTCCTTCTCCGTATTATATAGTAATAGATTATTTTATTTAAATATTATTTTAATACATCAACTAACAACTAACCATATCACTTTTTTTCAAAATCAACTATAGTTAAAAAATAAACCAAATAAAAACTAGTTGAATTCATAAACAATCACTTCCTTAGTATCTACATTCTCTCAACCTTCTCGAATAAATCAAAAGCCTCATCTTCCTCTCTTTATTGTTTTTCTCTCCTCCCACCTCACCTGCTTGGTGTTTGTGCTATTTCGTTGTGGAGAGTCTCCCTTTGTGGGAGATTGTAGATCGTTAACGTATGATTTCACATACTTATATATTTTATTGAGCTTAATTGTTGTATTATTATACTTATATTCTATATTTTGTTGAAACTGTATAGCATGTGCTCTGTTTTGTAGATATTTTTCGTGTTTTTTGTGTTTTGAGAAATTTGGCCATTGGAGGGTGCACGTTAAATACCTAAAACCTCGAAATTATGAAAGATTAATGCATGAATGAAAAGAATAGACAAAAGAAAGCAAGAAATCACTTACTATAAGGAACTTCGTATACTTACGGCTGCGTTTAAAAATTTCAGGCAAGCATAATCTCCTTTGTCGAGACTACACTTCCTGTGGAGTGTTTGGTTTTTTTGTTACTTTTATTGTTGTGTTCTTGCTTTGTTTAGTCCCCTGAATCTGGAATTGGTCGTATTAATCTATTGGAATTGTTCCCTTAATTTTCTTAACTATATTATTATTTGTTAAAAATAGGAGAAGACTTCAGTCCGGTTACGGAATGATCCCATGAGAGTTTTTAACTATGGAATCATTCTGTGACGGAATTGTAGTATTTTCCAATAATATAATTAGATTTCTTTCATTTTTGTTTCGTGCTTTAATTTACCAAAATGAAAAGTCGTGACTTAAATTGTCAAAATTAAGAAGTTGCGGGTTGCAGTTAAAAGTAAAAAACCTGATATGTATTTTGCAAGTAAGGGTATTATTTTTTAAATATATTCCACCTAAGATCAATCTTTTGCTCTTTGAAAAGTAAAAATAAAAACAAGCAAACTGCAAAAATGTAGATAGATTTTCCGAATCCAAACACGCCGTCCAGCAAGTATGGACAACATAAATCATGACACATAATCACCATCTTAAAATATTTCCAAGCAATGACATGGCAGTTGGCACTAACCTGGCATGCCACTGGTCCACAACACTAATTATGATCACCAATGTACCATATGATTACTCAATGCGTGACATGAAATCGAAGACAAGGAAAAAAAAAAAAAAACATACAGCTTATTGCCAGTGCCCAAATTAAATAGGACGCAAGACAGAAATAATTTCTTGGAATGTTATATAGAGTTGTTAAAATGGACTTCTTGATCATTGAATTCATGTTCCAAACATCCATTCAATACGAGGAATCAAGAAAAAGGAAAAACAAAAATCTTAAATAAGCAAAGTATATTTCTATTGTAGCAATCAAATGTAAATACATGCCAAGACATAATTTTGTGCTCATTGCATGAAAACCTCTGCCTTGTGTTAGATTCCAATTAACACGAGCACACCTTAAGGGATTCGAACCCCCGACTTGTGTTAGATTCCAATACATAACTAATTGTATAAAAAATGTTCTACTTTTCGAACCATGTCAAAATAATTGTCCACGAAAGTCATTGGAGAAGAGTATTACATGGTTTCATCAAATACATTTTTTCCATGTGGTGATGATGCGCATGGGAATGATTCGAACCTAGCTATAAATCACAAGCACACGAATAATTTACTTTTCAACTTCGATAACTATACTTTTGGATCACTACAACAAGAAAAAGCTCATCTTCAACAAGCTAAGTTTAATTGTCAAGACTCAAGACTCGAGCTAGTCAAACCCCCACTTCTACAAGTGTTGACATGCATTTTATAGTAAAAAAATATTGTACAAGTGTTGACATAAAAACACAATCCATGCGCAATGCGTATGCATATCATAATAATCGATGTTCAAGCTAGTCAACGCACGTCTGATCATTCGACAAAACCACTTATTTCGAGTTCTCTACCATGAAAACTCCTTTGACTAGTAACAAAAGTAACAAGATATAAGTCAAAACGATTGGATTTCTTAGCAAACATGCTCACTGAGCAAGCAAAACAGAATGCCACCTTTCTTTTAAAAGGAAAAAGAATATTCAACGAACCGTATTAAATTTAAACAACATCATGATTTGTTCAAGAATTAAATAAACAACTGGTGAGAATCAAAGTCTGAAAATGCAGGAAGTGCAAAAATAAACAAAAAACAAGTGGCAAAGCTGAAAAGAATCATACTTAAAGTAAACTCAGTACCATTAAAGTAATAATGAGCCTACATCTCTTTTGCTGAATGGCAAACAATACACTAAAAGTGGAGCAAATGCAAAAGATCAGCCAACAGGGCTTTTCTTTCTTGTTCCATCAAAATATTCAAAAAAAGTAACCAAAAGAATAATCACACACAACAAAAAGAATCCTCTGGTTTCTTCCCACCCTCCTCTTTCCCAATATGAAAGATCTCGTTTTCAAGATCTTAATTCCCCCCAAAACACTAAAATTGACCAACAAATTATCTATTTTTTTAGTCGAAAATTTATTTACAACACTTAGATAAGAGAATCAAGAAAACGATAAGAAACACAATAGACGAAAGCCCGATTGCAACACCAAGAACAACCTTACTTGGACCATTGTGATGCTTTTTCTCCTCCACATTGCCATAATCATCATCATCATCACTCGAATCATCAGACGACACATCCTTAGCTGCCGGAGGTGAGACAGGCAGCCCGTGCTTGTCGCAAGGGGCAATCCCGAGCTTTACTTTCGAGCCCAAAACCGAGCGGTTATAACAAAGATTAGAATTTTCTCCAATTCTCAATACCTCCAATCTCTTCAGAAATGTCGTGTTAAACGGTAAAACGCCGTGAAAATTGTTTCCCTCGAGATTCAAGAACTTTAGCATCTTCAAATCCCTTATGAAATTTGGAATGGTCCCATTGAGCTGGTTCGAGCCCAGATCGAGATGCATTAGGCCCGGAATTGCGGCTAGGGACTCGGGAATCGGGCCGGATAGCGAGTTTCGGGCCAAAGACAGATTTTTGAGCGAGCCCAAGTCGCCGATTGTAGTGGGGATCGTGTCGTTGAGAGAATTTGAGGAGAGATTCAGGTGGACGAGATTTTCGAGACGAGTTAACGAGATAGGTATTTTGCCTCTGAGATTATTTGCCGATAAATCGACGGAGGTGAGGTTGGGGTGCCAGTGTTTGGGTAGAGTGCCGGAGAGGTTGGTCTGGGAGATGGTAACGGCGTGCAGGGACCGCATTCCGGCGAGGATTATGGAAGGGCCGCTGGCGGTGATGCTCACGCGCGAGACGTTGAGGGTTGTGAGGTTCTGGAGGCGGCTGAGCCAGACGCCGGTGAGTTTCTTGAGGCTGCTGACGCAGGTGAATGAGCGGAGGTTGGAGGCGAGCTCCGGCGGGAGGCGGATGGGAGAGATGGGGCAGGTGAGGAAGGAGAGGGAGGTGAGGGTGGAGAGGGATTTGAGGGCGGTGAGGGAGAGGGCGACGTCGTCGGAGCAGTTGGCGAGGGTAAGGGAGACGATGTGGCTGAAGGGGGCGGCGGCGTCGCACGAGACGGCGGCGGAGGAGGCGGAGGGGCGGGGAGTGGCGGAGCAGGGGTCCCTGGAGGTGGGGATGTTGAGGGATTGGAGTGCACGGAGCTGTTTGGGGTCGAGGGTGGAGGAGGAGGAGGAGGAAATGGGGGCGGCGGTGGGGGAGTGGGCGGAGGCCGGCGAGGATGTGGGGGAGATGGTGGCGGAGGAGGTGGAGGCGGCGGTGAGGAGGAGGAGGAGGAGGAGAAATGGTGCCATTGTTGGGAGGTTTTTCAGTTCATTTGAGTGTGGTGTTTGTTTTTTGCAGAGAGAACTGTGGAGTTGTTTATTTTATTATCAAGATTCAAGATACACAAAAAAGTGACAGTTGGTGGGGCATGAAAATGCCCCTGGATTTGAATGTATTTACACAGCTTTGCTTGAATGCGGATTATAGATAAAAGAAATCTTTTTTTTGTTTTTGTGATTAAATTAAAAAGAAAAGAAAAGGAGAAAGCTGCTCTAAATATGGAGTTTTTAAGGGAAAAACAAAGGGCAATATGTAAAGTTGTTAAATAAAGTTATATTTGGTTCCTTCAATTTTGCTATAAAACCAACTTCCTTAAGAAGCGAGCTCAAATCGCAATCAAACTCAAGCTCTTATAGTTAAAACTCAAAAGAGTAATTTTTATATCATTTTTACAATTTATCTAGTCCAGACTCAAATTCAAATAATTAATATTGATATGTCTGGTGGCTTAGCTCGTTGAGCTTCAACTCAGTGTCCCGTCTACACCCAACTCATATGTAAAAGTAAAATTAGAATGTACTCTACAGACTAAAGAGTATAAAGTATAAAAACCTCTTATGAATAACATTTTATTATATCTCAACGAATTTTTTATTGTTAAACATGGGGTGTGCGTGTATACTCATTTCAAGAAGTATAATACAATTCAATTCCGTGAAGACTGTAAGTCAATTAGTCAACGCAAATTTCAATGTCTGTTTGAAAATGGGCTATAGTGCTAAACTTACTAAATTTAAAAATTCATCAACATTATTGTAATTACAAATATACTGCATTGATATGTGACCGACGGTGAGACCCCATATCACTATTTCGAGTAATTATTTTTCACCCGGAAAAAGCAACACTTGAAACAAAGCAATGCATGACGATCATAGAACATGACCCCAGCTGAACTTTTGCAGCAGAATAGACTTCATTACAAGTTACATAAAATCTTCATTATACCTTACAAATCACATCATCTCATCACACACACACCCAAAAAAAACCCAAAACAACCTCACAATTTTCAAAACCATCAAATNCGCGATGCAGCTCTGCGCAGCAGCCGATGCTCCGTTATCACTAACAAACGGGTCGATTTTCACCCACACGAGCGAAAAGACAGAAGCCAGCAGCACAGACCACAAAACAACAACAGTCGGGGTTCGGTTTTGCCGCCCCATGAGTCCCTTGAGGAATGGGTAGAGATGTAAAATGACCCATAAAGCAAAAAACACTTTCCCGAAAAGCGGGCCCCACGCCTCGTACCCACTGTTTAAGGCATCAGAAAATCCCGCAACCACGCCCACGATATTGACGACGAGAATTGTTGTCGGGGGGATGAGAACAGTCGTCCACTTGATCACGTAAAGTTCCCCAAACTCGGCATCGTCGGCGGCTTTTGTGGTGACGGTGAAGTTTGTGTCGACTCCGGCGAGCATTTTGAGGAAGCCTTGGAAAACGGCAAATAGGTGGGCCGAGACGCCGCCGATTACCCAGAACTGCTCGTTTCGCCATAAGGCCTCGATGCTAACACCGCTCCACCGGAGCTCGAGGATGCTGGTGAGGATGATGGAGAGGAAGAGGCCTAGGAAAAGGATGCTTGCCAGGTTCGAAAGCTACAGTTTTAATCGGATGGAAGAAGAGTAAGGTTACTGAAATGAATGAATAATCCGGCTTTTTTGTTTCTTTAAGATACATGTATTAGTTTTAGGGGCTTTTTTTTNTCCCACGTATTTGTTTCTTCTTTTGGTTATTCAATAAAAGCATGGAGAATGGAGGGAAAAGATAGGGAAAAAATGCATTTTTAGTCCTATTGGTTTATCGTCATAGCAATTTAAGTATCAAGATTCCAACTTTTCTCGCCTTTAGGTCATGTGATTTAATATTTTAGTATTTTGCTGCAATTTCAGTCTTTTTTGAGGACTGTAATTGCAACAAAATTTTAAATTACAAATTACAGGACTTAAATTGCTAATCGAAAATCTGGAATTTGTTGCAATTTCAGTCTCCAAATGACTGAACTCTGAAATTGTACCAAAATATTAAATTAAAGGACTAAAAGGCGAGATGTTGGAACTAAAATTGCTATAACATTAAACCAACAGGACTAAAAATGCAATTTTTATCAATAGTGTACCGTTGGGATGATGAATTTCCCGGTGAGAAGGCAAATGGCGGGCAGCGAGCAGTAGGCGACGAGGGGGAGGGAAGTGAAGGGATAGACGATAGTGTTGATGTACGCGAGCCTCTGGAGCCATTTAAGGCGGCCCCCTCCAAAACCGTACCATAAGGGACAGTGTCTACTGAGGAAGATCTCGATCGAGCCTAAAGCCCACCTAAGAACCTGGTGCAGCCTGTCGGACAAATTGATTGGAGCTGACCCTTTGAATGCGGGCCGCAAAGGCATGCAGTAAATCGATCTCCACCCTCGGCAGTGCATTTTGAAACCCGTCAGAATGTCCTCCGTGACCGATCCATATATCCAACCAATCTGTAAAATCCCAAATCCAGAAATAATCGAGAATGACGAAAAAAAATGGGAAATTACATAAGGCAAATTTGGTGTCCTATTGGTTTAGCGCCATAACAATTTTAGTCCCAAGGTTCCAACATTTCGCTTTATGGTCCTATGATTTAATATTTTGCTGCAATTTCAGTAATTTAAAATTTTGTTGCAATTTCAGTCTCAAAGGACTAAAATTGCATGATCAAAAAGGCGAAAAGTTGGAATTTTGGGATTAAAGTTGCTATGGCGTAAAACTAACAGGACTAATAATGAATTTTTGCCTAACTTTGTACAAGCATTGTATTATCATAATCCAGATAAATACAAGATACTAATTGTGATAAATTGTATATCTGACCTCTTTACCCCAGGCAGTCTTTTCCTCATACCCACAGCCGATGACATGGATTGCTTCGTTAATTAGAGTAGATGGATTGGCAGACTCGGCTATTCCGCCGTTCTCCATAAGCGTAGACTCGATAAAAACAGAAGATAAGCCAAACGTTTTCTCGAAACTCATTTGGGAGATGAGCAATGACCTTTCGTGCTCGTCATAACCTACCATAGATGCACCTTGTCTTAAAAAAATTTCAAATTTTGATGCGCTATCATTTTTATTAAAATCGAAATGCGAAATACTTACTTTCAATCTCCCTAAGATTAAAAATGGCGGCATTAAGCTCTTCCCTTTTTGCATCACGGTAAAGCTCTGAGAGGTCTTTCTCTTTGGCGGGCTTCTTGCCACGACAGCAACAACAGCACCACGAGCAAGATGATGATGATGATGAAGTCTTGGGTAGAGTCGGAAGTGATGTGGGCCCATAGCCGTAAAGGGCTTGCCTGTTAAAGACACAACCTGTCCCAACGTATACAGGCCCTTGGATACCGTCTAATCCTTTCATGTTGACCTAGCATCATGCAGAAACTAAATTAACCAACAATCATAAATATTCCTGAGTGACAAAATTTCAGATTCGGAGGTTTTTTTTTTTTTTTATTTGTTCTTGGGACTGATTCCTTTCCTAGCCTTAATGCGCAGTTGAAGGAAGAAGTAGTTGAGAATCAAAATTGACAGATTGTAGTTTCTTTTATATTCAGATAAAAATTGTGCATGCGAAAATCTTACATCGAAGAAAACTGTGTTGCGGTTGGCATATCGATCACTCTTGTCGATACCATCAAATCTCTGGGGAAATTGCACGTAACATACATCTCCACATACTTGAGGATCCATCAAGAAACACATTGCCTCACGGATTGCCATGCTATTGTTAACATAGTGGTCACAGTCAAGGTTAAGGATAAATGGTGCATTTGTCAAAACAGCTGATACTCTTATCTGGAAAAAAAAATAAATATATAAATAAATAAATAAATCAAATATGTTATGCTCCTGCCATTTACCAAAAGAAAAGAAAAAAAAATGATAAAGCACATAAGAGAAGTGTACCAAAGCATTTTCAGCACCAGCCTTCTTATGATGTTGATAGCCAGGTCTTTTTTCTCTAGAGACATAAACCAGCCTAGGAAGCTCATTTCCCTCAATGTCATGTGCACCAGTATTGCCTAAAAACACCTGAATTTGGAAGATAGTTATAACTTATAACCAGTTCTTACCTCTTTTACAATAAATGTCTCTCGAAAAAAGCATAAATTAAAACTAGATTAAACCTGAATCATGCCAGGATGATCACGTGTATTATTCCCAGGCCAAGGTGTTCCGTCTGCCATGGTCCAGCCGTCATCTGGCGTTTTCTGGGCCTTTGCCACCAAAGCATTTATCCGCACCTTATACTCTTCATAGTCCCTCTATGAACCCAAGAGCAGAAAAACATTAATTAGACATTACTTCAGTAAAACCTAAACAATGTCAAGCTGCAAAATCACAAATAAACATTCATGTTTATACTAACTTTCATCGCCCTACGTTCCTTGACGAAAGAAGGCTGTATTTTATCCCTCAAGTAATCAATCTTCTGTGAGAAGTAAAACTCCGGGGCACGTGGCTCGATGCAGAATTTCTTGCAGAACGGCACCCATTTCCTTGCAAAATCAGCAGTTTCAACAAGAGACTCGAAAGTAAGCATAGCTGCACCATCGTCAGATACATAACAGGAGACTTTATCGACCGGATAATCCACGGCAAGGATTGAGAGAACAGTATTTGCCGTTATGAGAGGCGGTTCTTTTAATGGGTCAACAGTACTGACAAAGAAATCAACAGCAGCTAGCTCAGATGGTTCTCCTTCACGCTCATACCTGAATTATTTGTAAAAATAAAATACATAAATAGATTTTAAAATAGTTGATTTCCTAATCATATGTTTTCTGTAATGAATTTTCTCCCACAAGATCTTTGTAGCTCATTGATTAAAAAACGATATGGAATATTCTATCAGCATAAGACAAATTCAAAGTGAAAACCGCAGAATAATAATTTCTAGATTAAAAAATTTGCAACACTGTGAAAAAGATTGGGTAAGAGAATTTTACTCTCAGCTCAATGTCAAAATGGAGGCCAAGAACTAATCTAAATCATTTCCTAATAGCTTAAAAGCATGAAAGTCCAAAACAAGCTTCGATCAGTAACATCCAAATCCAATCAAGAGACAGTAATATAAAGGATAACATACCTAGCAGATAATCTGTCGATATATGTGTCTCTGTTTATAGGCGACCACTTAGGAAACTGATCAAGCACCCAGGAGAATGCAAACCAGATCTCACAAATAACAGAAGTGAGCCACAGACCAAAGGCGCTATCAACAGGATTTGTCACACGATAGTGGATGAAAAGAAGCAGAATTATCAGTCGCATAATGATCACAATCCGGTACGAAGTAATTTGGGTCCTTGGTAGAGGAACCACTCTCGAGAGAGGCTGTGAAGCATCTGCAGACCTGCATCAGTTGTCATCATCACACCCTTTTCATGCATGTGTATACAGTATGATATAAAGGTTGTGTTCGGTAAGCATATAAGCTAGCTAAGCTTATACGCTTCCTGTGTTCAAATAAGCTTGGTTTGGTAGGACGAGCTTTTTCAAAAAGCTCGAGCTTATCTCATAAGCTTACTTGGGTAGCTTTTCAAATAAGGCCACTGAAATTTTTACTTCAGCTAGCTAGCTTATCAAGCTTATCAGCTAATTTTACCTAACACTTTTATCATATAAGCTAACTTTAACGCCATAAAACATAAGCTATCAGCTATAAGCTCGAAATTCACTTAAAAGCTATAAGCTAGTTTATCATTTACCAAACATAGCCAAAAGGAGATCCTTAATCCTCATTGACGGAATTCAGCTTTTTCTTTAATGATATATATATATATATTGATAGAATTTAATCTAATTTCAAGTAGACTTACTGTGGTTTGTCCTCCATTTGCTGCTCGGGAGGAACTTCTGCTTCTTTCTTTTCCTTTTTTGCAGTTCGCTTCTTTTTAGCTTTCTTTTCTTTCCAACTTTCCACTCTGTTCTTCCATATTGGATTCCCAGACTCGTCGATATATTCTTCAA